ATGGTTCTGTTTTACTGTAACATATTTCATGACTGGGAAACAACCTAAGTTTGTTGTCCATTGTAGAAATAATTTTCTGCTACTCTATATGCTTGTGCAACAGTCTTAGTTTTAGAAATAGTTTTTTATCAAAAAATTGATGCAAATATAAAAAAATGAAATGGATCTTTATATGTATGAGTTGCCCATTAAAATTATTTGTTTTGAAATTCTTAGGTATTAGTTGACCAAAAAAGGCATTTTCCCATGTTCATTGTTTTTCCTGGAGGAAATAGAGTGGGCAAATTTTCTTACTGTTTTGCAATAGAGTTTGAACTTTCTTTTTCTGTTACAGTAGGTTTAGTGTAAAATATACTTGACTGTATTCCTGGCTATAACCAAATACACACTATCTGAATTTCTTCAGATTGATTATTTTAGTGGTGAGGACTATAAACTTTCTGTATGCTAAGCATGTATTCTATGTTCTGTTATTTTAAATGTGAGTTATATTTCTTGAGTAAAAAAATGTGAATATGTGCAAGATTTAAGTATATCTGTTAATAATGTAGTTGTTTTATTCTGGAAAGATGAGCAGATACACATTTTTTTTTACTGTTCAGAAGATGATAAAAGTTCTAACTGTAGTAATCTTTGATAAAATTATAATTAGCTTTCTCTTACAAAAAACAGTCATTTTTCTCTTTCCTTTCCCATTCTTTTCCTCTCCACTCATCTTCTACCTTTCTTTACCTCTTTTTCTCTAGAATTTAAAATTATTGAAATATAGCCTATGTTTTATACATTTTGCATACTTGAAATGTCCTTGAAAACTTGATAATATCTAGGTAGTTTAAATGTTTAAGTACCAAAGATTGCATTGCTTAGTCTTGTTCAGTTACCACTCTAGTTTTTTTTTCTTCTACTTTTTTAAAAGTATTTGCTGTCATTACAGAGGTGATGTACAGAGGGGTTACAGTTTCATAAGTTAGGTAATGAGTACATTTTTTTTTTTGGACAATGTCACCCCTTCCTCTCTCCAAGTTTTTCCCTCCCATCCTCACCTATAAGTTGTATAGTTCATTTTCAATGTAGTAGTTTTTTTTTTAATAAGTATTAAAATAAATGGCATATACTACATTTGAATACTGAATCATTCAGCTGTTACGGTTTGTTCTTGGGAAGATCCCTATTGAGTTTGTAGTAGAAATAGAGAAATAACCTACTTTTTCTTCTACCTTCTCACCCCTCATGAAACAATTTTTTCGAGTTAGTCACACTTTTTCCTTTTACTTAGGTTGATAAGAAATTTAAACCCTTGATGCCATATTCTCAAATTGAGAACACCTTGCCACCAAGCAAGTTGGCCTGGGTTTTAAAATAGGCCTGAGAAGAAGGCAGGTGAATGTAATCTAACATAGTCTTTGAGACTACAGAATTGAGTATATCCTTCTAGTGTTAAAATATATTTTGGACTCAGAAAGCTGACGGAGCAATTAGAGTACATTCTAAGTACACAAGGGTGGAAAGTATTTAACACACTACACAGGAAAGGAATAGTCATAACCTTTGGGTGAAGCTGGAGTCTTTATTAAGTGTTATCCATTAGTTTTTATGGTGCTGGAGATGGGTATTTTCTAATATCTTGCTTTCTGATAGATTATTAATAAGAGTGAACGCCTCTTTTTGGCATGCAGAAATGATTTAATCTGCATGATTTAAAATGATTTAAACTTCGTCTTCAATAAAGATGATTAAAACTTCAGGGAACAGTACTTGATTTAATGCAATATGGTAAAACCTCAAATAAACCTGGTTATTTTGTTGCCTCCAACTCTTAGGAGAATGAGAGAAAAGTTAGGCAAGAAGTTATTTTACATTTTATTTTATTCTTATTTTTTGTGCCAGTACTAAGACTTGAACTCATAGTCTCATACTCTCACTTAGCTTATTCACAAAGCTGGTGCTCTACTTCTTGCACCACACCTCTACTTTTGCCTTTTTGCTGGTTAGTCGGGATAAGAGTCTCACAGACTTGGTTCCCAGGCTGGCTTTGAACCGTGATCCTTAGATTTCAGCCTCCTCAGTGGGTAGGATTACAAGCAGAAGCCACTAGTGACTGGCTTCTGTATTAGGTTTATTATAATTTCTATATGGCTTTTGGTAGGTACACTTTCAGGTGAGTCTCCAGTGCCTCATACTGTGTTGTGCAGCAGTCACTGGCGACTGCAGTGGCCCTTAGTATCTCTCTGTTCTATGTATTTACTGATTTATTTTTTGTCAGTAGTAGGGTTTGAACTCTGGGCCTGGGCACTGTCCCTAAGCTCTTCAGCTCAAGGCAAATGCTGTACCACCTGAGCCACAGCACCACTTCCGGTTTTCTGGTGATTAATTGGAGATAAGAATCTTAAGGACTTTTCTGCCTGAGCTGGCTTTGAACCACAATCCTCAGATCTGAGTCTCCTGAGTAGCTAGGATTACGGACATGAGCCACCGGTGCCCGGTTATTTCTCTGTTCTTGAAAGGCTCAGAGGAGAAAGGTCTAAAAGTTTAAAAATAGTTTTCAGTAACAAGTTGAAATCATTTTCTTATTTAGTTTGAGTTAATTTCAGAAATTTAATTGGTTTCCTTCCTTGGTGTTTGATTTCATTGTGAATTATAAAGCTTGTGGAGAAAATAGTTTTCAAAAAGGAAGAATGCTAGTTCTTTGAGAGCTTAATGTGCAACTATGTTTTATTTGGTGTCCGAGGTGGTAGCATTATAAGTGAATTAGCAGGTGGTTAGTGCATTTATATATATATATATATATATATAAAACTTAGGTTTTTTTCCTTTTTGGGTGCTGCCCCTAATCTTTGCTTTCCTTTCTCTCTCTCTCTCTTTTTCTCCTCCCTTCCTTTCTTTCTCTCCCTTTCTGTTTCTTCTTTCTTTCTTTCTTCCTTCCTTTCTTTTCTTTCTTTCGTTCGTTCGTTCTGCTAGCACTCTACCACTTGAGCTACAGTTTTACTTCTGGCTTTTTTGGCAGTTAATTAGAGATAAGAGTTTCACAGATTTTCCTGTCTGGGCAGGCTTTGAACCATGATGTTCAGATTTCAGCCCCCTGAGTAGCTTGGATTAAAGGCATGAACCACCATCCAGCTAGTTTCTTAGTTTTCATAGAGCACAAAGGTTGAGATTTTAATTATAAGCAGTAAAATTTGCGGAGAGAAGAGTTTAGCAGATAGATCAGATGCCTAGATATAAGCATTTTATACTATAAGAGATAGGGTTGGTTTTTGAATTTGCTTTTATAATCTTAGTTTTACTAAGACTGTGACAGATAGAAATATATATTTATAAATATGTACAGCAAGCAGTGTGACTAATGAAAAGATTACTAAGACTTTGATTTGTGAGACTACTTTGTTTTTGCCTCATTTTTACTAAACAACCTGAGTGATTTTGGGGAATAAAGGCCTTAGCCTTTGTTTTCTCTTCTATCCAGTCAGGGAGTTGAGTTTGTGATCTGTCAGATCACAAAGATCATGATTCTGGGGTTTTTGTTTGTTTGTTTGTTTTATTTTTTTGTTTTTTTTGTTGGTCATGGGGCTTGAACTTGGCCTAGGTGCTGCCCCTCAGCTCTTCAGCTCAAGGCTAGCGCTACCACTTAAGCCACAGAACCACTTCTAGTTTTCTGGTGGTTTATTGGAAATAAGAGTTTCACGGACTTTACTGCCTGGGCTGGCTTTGAACCACAATCCTCAGACCTCAGCCTCCTGAGTAGCTAGGATTACAGGTGTGAGCCACTGGCGCCCAGATGAGGTTCTTAAATGTGTTGCTTATATTGTATCTATTGATGTGTATTCAACGCAAATACATCTCACCACCATCCTCCCCCCCCCCCCCCCCGCACCCCCCCCCCCCCACACTTAGAATAGTAGTATAAGAACAGCAGAAGTTTTTTGCTGGAAGATGGCATTAGGACATGAGAGGATAAAGAGTTAATGGGGGAGAGACAGAATGGAGCAAGGGGTGGGATGCACAGTGCTGGCTGTGAGTGGTGGTCATGGTGTTGGGTGGTGGAATGGGGTCTTTGCCAGGAGAGAGTGGTGGGCCCACTTTCCCTACCTCATTTTACTTTAGGTTCTGGTCAACTGAGAAATGAATCCTTGTCTGTGTATGGCAAGTGAAAAGAGGAAATTTGTCTCAGGCTGAGGATGATTCCTTCAGGGGAAGCAGAGGGGAGAAAGCCCAATTAAAAAATACCTCAGAGCTGGGAATGTGGCTTAGGGGTAGAACACTTGCCTAGCATGCATGAAGCCCTGGGTTCTATTCCTCAGTAACACATAAACAGAAACGCCCCAAGTAGCGCTGTGGCTCAAGTGATAGAGTTAAAGAAGTACAGGGACAGTGCCCAGGCCCTGAGTTCAAACCCCAGGACTGGCAAAAAAATAAAAATAAATAATAAAACAAAACCCCAAAACTCAGTTGGAAAGATGTTCCCTTCTATTTGAGTGAAAATATGAGACATTTAGTAGTAATAATAGGGTTCCTGAATACCATATGGAGAAATGTAAGATAATAATACTCTCTTGCCTTTCTCTACTTGGTAGAAATGGTGAGAAATCAAGGCAGATACTGTTGAGGAGAATGGTACTTATACATGCCTTATAATGAATCTTAGTGCTGTGGTGAACATATGTGCCTCACTGTCAGGGTCCTTTGGCTGAGAGTCCTTCATCTCTTAAGGTTTTGAGGTAGTTGTACTTCCCTTATAGAGTCTTTATCCATGTACTTGGGGCCTACCTGTGGAGAAATGAGGGAGGTGAACTTCCTTACATCTGTGCTGCTAGATGCTTTTCAAAAATGGCACACATTTCATATTAAAACATTTCCTTGCTGAATAATGATAGATGAAAAATAAATTTTAAGCTAAATATTTTAATGTTTATAAGTAAAAAATTACTTAGTCATTCATATAAAAATATTTAGAATCTTATGTGATTTTTACATACTTTCAGTTTATTTTTTGGTTTCAATAGAACAAGTTGAAATCATCGCAGAAGGATAAAGTTCGTCAGTTTATGATCTTCACACAATCTAGTGAAAAAACAGCAGTAAGTTGTCTTTCTCAAAATGACTGGAAGTTAGATGTTGCAACAGATAATTTTTTCCAAAATCCTGAACTTTATATACGAGAAAGCGTAAAAGGATCATTGGACAGGAAGAAGTTAGAACAACTATACAATAGATACAAAGGTGAGTGTTTGTAACTTTAAATATTTTGACTAGGTTTTCCAAAGTTATGGGCTTGGGAGAAATGAACCTACTATGTAGAATATAAATTCAGTAGTGTGAGAACTCTTGTAGATCTCGAAATTATTTCAAGAAGTCTGAGAGGAGAAATGATTTCCTCTTCACCAACATATCTTCCTGATCCCTTTATTATCATCTCTTTTTTTTCCTCTTTCATTGTCCAATTTAAAAATGGGAGGTGGTGGCCCATTTTTATAAAAATCAGCTTAACCAGATTAACACTTTTATTTTTTGGCTGGTCGTGGGACTTGAACTCAGGGCTTGGGCACTGTCCCTGTGTTTCTTTATGCAAGGTTAATGTTCTACCACTTGAGCCACAGTTCTGCTTCTGGCATTTTGTTGGTTAATTGGAGATAAGAGTCTCATGGACTTTATTGTCTGGACTGGTTTTAAAGGGTAGCCTCAGATCTCAGCCTCCTGAGTAGCTAGGAATATAGGCATGAGCCACTGGCACCTGGCTTCACAGTGACTTTTTTTGGGGGGGGGGGGGACTCCGGTTGTGGGGCCTGAACTCTGGGCCTGGGCACTGTCCCTCAGCTCTTCAGCTCAAGGCTAGCGCTCTACCACTTGAGCCACAGCACCACGTCTGGCTTTTTTCTTTTTGCTTATGTGGTGCTGAGGAATTGAACCCAGGGCCTCAGGCATGCAAGGCAAGCACTCTACCACTGAGCCACCTTCCCAGCCCCACAGTGACTTTTTTTTTTAAAGTATTATAAAGCAACATCTACTCTAAAAGGTAAACAAGGTTGAGGATGTAGCTCAGTTTGTTGAATGCTTGCCTATTATGCATGAGGCACTGGGAAAGAACTCTGACAGCACTCAAAGAAAGGCAGGCAGGCAGGTAGTACATTATACATGAAAAAAGAGACTGGGGATGTAGCTCACTGGTAGAGCCACTTGGCTAGTTTGTGTAGGGCTGTTATTCTTCAGAGATAATTAGTATTTAGTAGCTTGGTATGGATCCTTCCATGTCTTTCATGTTTATAAAGAAATACATGGAGAAAATTATATACTTTTTTCTTCTAATAGTATTGTATTATATGCTAACTTATGCTCCAAAGTTAAAAGATGTGCTTTAAAAAAAATGGAAAGGAGAGAGAGATAGAGACAGAGAGAGAAAGAGAGACAGAGACAGACAGGCAGAGATTGTGATAATAGATTAAAGCCAGAGGCTTGCTTGTTCATTCCAGGGAAGCACTGTACCACTTAGCTACACTCTAGCTCAATGTATTTGTTTATTATTGGTAAAATTATTGCCAGATTGGTTTTAGGAAGGTTTAGTAAATCATGGTTGATAATAGTATGAGAATGCTTCTATTTTCTTATGTTGTATACAGTTTTCCTGTGGTAAATAAACACTATTTTTTCTTTAAATAGCAGATGTTTATATTATTGAAACTAAACTACTTAGTTTTTTTCTGATAGGTTTAAAAAGTGATTGTAATGGTAAAATGAACTTAAAGATAAAAAGAATTTCTGTATTTAAGACTACTAACTTAAAATGTCTCTTAAAATATGGATATGTTCAATCAGAACTTCTCATCCCCTACATAGGAATGTTTGATTTCTGGAATATGTACAAATAGGGGACTTTTTATATGGATAAATGAGAGTTTTAGAAATGTATCCATCTGCATATACATCCTCTTGTTCATTTTAATAATGCTGTGTAGAAGGCAAAATGATTTTAGCTATTATAAGGGGAAATCAACTATTAGTGTAATATTGTCACATGTCTTTGCTATATATTTTAAAATGGAAAATAAAGCATTGCCTTTAAAATTTAAGAATATACCATAATAAAATATGCCACTAATTTGATATTGTATTATTTTTAAAGATCCTCAAGATGAAAATAAAATTGGAATAGATGGTATACAGCAGTTCTGTGATGACCTGGCACTTGATCCAGCCAGCATTAGTGTGTTGATCATTGCATGGAAGTTCAGAGCAGCAACACAGTGTGAGTTCTCCAAACAGGAGTTCATGGATGGCATGACAGAACTAGGGTGAGTAGACTCAGTACTATGAGGATATGAATTGAACTGTCATCAGTTCTTAAATGTAATTTAAATTTCTACTGGCCCACAAATGAGCAAACATTCTAGTTCTCATGTGAAGTAGTTTCCTGGATTTGTCAAGTATCTATACAATTATTACAGCCTACTCAGTTTGGTGTTATTCACATCACTTGTTTCTGAGAGAGGATGATGAGAAAGTTAATACTGTATGCATTAATGGATATTAATGGGTTTAATATGGAAAAGTGAAATGAACAAGTTTAATGAAGTTTTTTCTTAATGTAAGGCTGTGTAAGATAGATTGATAAAGTGAAGACACCTTAGAAGTTGTAATTGCAATTTGTCCCAATTGTGTCTTGACAACTGATTTATTGGATATATATTTGGGTAAATAGATTGAAAAGTCATGAGTGGAGGTTTTACTTTGACCTTTAGTTGTCTGTTTTTAATGAGATTGCAGAAGTGTGTATGTAGGTATCAGGCAACCTTCTGTTTTTAGTGGGTTGCTGTTGAATAATAATAGCTAACATTAGTTGGCCAGTGTTTTAGTAACCATGCTGAGTGCTTTACTAAACTACATATTCACAAGTTTGTGAGTATTAAGGTACAAAGAAATTATAAAATGTAATATTAGAGCCAGGATTGCAGTCTGGATTCTGCTGCTTGAACTTGAGGACATTGTAATCAGTCAGCGTCCACTCAAGGAAAATAAAAAGACACACTGGTAATTTGACCTGGGAAAATTTAATTTATTTGTTTTGCAGTGCTGGAGATTAAACTCAGGATCTCACAAGTACTCTACCATTGAGCTCCATCTACCCTAGCCCTGGCTAGGGGAAATTTAATTACGTGTTGTACTATGCAAAAGGAAATTCTTAAGATGTAACAGGTAGCAGTAACTGTAGTCATCCCTTGGACTGAATAAAATGAAGAAACCAGGAAGGAATTTAGAAACTAGAGAGTTGCTAGTGAGGCTGAGATCCAATTCTTCTAGGAGGGAGGGAGGGTAGAAGTGTTGGGAGGCTCAGTTGATATTTATTATACTTTATACATAAAAAAAGAAGTAAATTTCCAAGAGGAACACTTACTCATCTAAAACAAACTACTATGTTTCTAGTTAGTTTAGGAGCTGGGCATGTGATGAACTACTAAGTAAGCAGTTATCTCTTGCAGTTTAAACTGATAATTGTAAAGCTGATTATTATGTATTTTATCAGTGTGTTGACAGTTCAATGAATTATGTATTTAAAAGTACTAACCTATTTTTCAAAGTAATTATTTCTAACATTTTATCATTTCAAATCTCTTCCTCAGCTATGCCCTTACACCCCTTAATCTATGGTCTTGCTTTTTGAAGCTTTAGTGACTTATGACCAACTGTGGTCCCAGATTATTAGCTGGAAAATTGCAGAATAAAGACAACTCATCAGTTTTAAGTTGTTCATTGTTCTGAGTAGTATGGTGAATTTTTGTACCACCTGCCTGTCCTGCCTGGGATGTGTGTCTTCCCTTTGTCCAGCTTATCCAAACTGTAGATATTACTTACCCATTAGGCACTTAGTAATTTTTATTTACCAGATCAACTGCTTATGTTCAAGCTGAAAACTGCTTCCTTTAAGTGAAAAGGTATAAGATATTTTGAGATAGAGCACATTTATGTAAGAGTTTTTTGTAGTATGTTGTTACAATTTTTTTATTAACATTGTTAATCTCTTACTGTGCCTTACTTATAAACTTTTACATGTATATAGTCTAGGAGAAAGTATAGCATATATATGGTTTGGTATTATCCAAGGCTTTAGTCATTTACTGTGGGTCTTGGAACATATGCTCTGTGGATAATGGGGACTCCTTTGCTATTTACGTAAATAGAAGAAGATAAAATTGTATATGATTTGTTAAACAAGTTCTAGGAAATATAAACTTTCATTGGAAAAAAAAGCTAAGTTTTAAATTTATAGTGAGAAGTTAACCTTTTATAAACTTAATTTTGTAATATAGATGTGACAGCATAGAAAAACTAAAGGCCCAAATACCCAAGATGGAACAAGAATTGAAAGAACCAGGACGATTTAAGGATTTTTACCAGTTTACTTTTAATTTTGCAAAGAATCCAGGACAAAAAGGATTAGGTAAGACTATTTAAAAATTATATTTGGTGTTCAAATATATTTAAATACATTAATAGTATTGCCTTTGCAGAAGCATTGCCTTTGCAGAAGCATGTTTTGCATATAAACTCATTATGAAAATACCAGTTTATTGGAAAACATTGAGAGGCATGGGACTTCAGTCAGAAGATACAGGGCTACTCTGGGTACCATAGATGAACCACTGATCTTTTTTTTTTTACATAAAAACTATAAATACAGAATATAAACAGTTGTTAATATTCCACTGATATTTTTATATATGCTTTCATTCATAGATGATCCTATAAAATAAAATGGTAAGATTTCTCAATCACAGAATACCATATAACTTTATTTTTTTATAATAAAGACAAAAATGATTATTAGTCATAAATCCTATTCAAAAATAACTGATGATAATAGAATCACTTAAGGATCTCACTTTGTTTAGATCAGTACTTTATATAGAAAAGATGCAGTATAATTACAAATTTCCTAAAATGATAATATAATCTAAATGAACATGGTGAAGGGGGAGAAGGGAAGGGAAGGGGAAACAAAGGAGGAGGCAATAATGTTTGATAAGAAATGTACTCGTTGGAAGTGGCACTGTGGCTCAAGTGGTAGAGCGCTTGCCTTGAGCTGAAGAGTGCAGGGACAGCGCCCAAGCCCAGAGTTCAAGCCCCATGACTGACCAAAGGAAAAAAAAAAAAAGAAATGTACTCATTATCTTGCCCATCTAATTGTAACTCCTCTGTATGGTATTTTCACAATTAAAAAAAAAGAAAAATGAACATAAGGGTTTTAGAAAAAGGGAGGAATGACTACAAAATGCTTTCAGGGCAAGGTGACATGAACTAAAGGATTTAGTATTTTACTGGATAAGGGAACAGATGTCCACTGAGGATAGTTATAAATGAGGATCTAACATCTCAGAAACAAGCTTAGATACTTTGTGAAAGAGAGGTGCTGATTTGATTTTACTGGGAATGTTCATTTGGAGATGAAATTGGTGAGATACAATGAGGCTAATAACTGTAGGCTGCTTTTAGAAATGGGATAAAAAGGTTTAAATTGGAATTTGAGGGAAATGAAGACTCCCTGGTTAATCCTTCCGATCAAAGATTTTGATGTTACTGTAATTTCTGCTAAATGCGAAATTACAGTATGCATGGCATTGTACTAAGCTTCATGTCCATTATACCAGAAACTGAATAATTTTATGAGTTAATTGAGTACCAGGTATGTAGTAAGAAAGAGCAGTTGTTTTTTATCCTTAATGAGAAACTTAGGCACAAAGTTAAATGATTTGGAATGATAGAAGTGAATTTTGAGTCCAGGGCCTCATACATATTAGGCTAGAGCTCTACCACTGAGCTGTACCCTCTGGTATTGCATTTTTTTTGAAGGTACAGTAGTTGGACAGACTAATTGGGTTCCTTGTACTAATTCCTAGTTATATTTTAGATGAAGTGGGGAACAGTATTGAAAAAAAGATTATATGACTAGGGGTTATATCAAGAAAGCAGTTGAAAGAGAAGGGATATGTATACTATTTGTAATTGTGAGTTAGCGTAAAGTGGGAGTAAACATGATGGAATCAAGATTTTTGAATATTCCTAAAGCAAAATTTCGAATGCAACTTCCTTCTGGACTGATTGCTTTATAGGTTGGATTTTACTTTTTATTTTTATTTCTAGTCAACACAGAGTAGTTGCATATATTTTTGAAGTATAGTGTGACATTTAAAGAGGTGTACAGTGTGTAATGATCAGATCAGGATGGGTTTTATTTTATAGGAAAAATCCTCATTTTGCGGACAAAATAAGCCGAGATATCTAGGGCAAGTTTCCATTATATGTAGCCATCAGTTAGAGAGAGAGAGAGAGAGAGAGAGAGAGAGAGAGAGAGAGAGAGTGTGTGTGTGTGTGTGTGTGTCTTTTCTTTAGTTTCCTCTATCCTACAAATTAAAAAACCCTTGAATTTCTATTAAAAGAACATTGGGTGCTGGTGGTTCATACTTGTAATCCTAGCAACTCAGGAGGCTGAGATCTGAGGATCATGGTTAAAAGCTTCCAGGGCAGGAAGTCTGTGAGACTCTTATCTCCATTTAATCACCAGAAAACGAGATGTGGTGCTGTGGTTTCTGTGGTAGAGCGCTAGCCTTGAGCTGAAGAGCTGAGGGACAGCCCCAGGCCCAGAGTTCAAGCCCCATGACTGCCCCCCCCCCCCCCAAAAGAAAAAGAACATTGTGGTAGGGTACCAGTGCTTGGGCCTATAATCCTAGCTACTTAGACTGAGATCTGAGGATTGTGGTTCAAAGCAAAGACAGGAAAGTCCACGAGACTCTTAATCTCCAGTTAACTACCAAAGAAACAGAAGTAGAGCTGTGGCTCAAGGGTTAGAGTTCTAGCCTTGAGAAAGAAATAAAAAATCCAAACAATTTAGGATAGCTCAAGTGTTAGAGCACTAGCCTTGAGAAATTTAAAAAAACAAAACAAAACTACAACTTAGGGAGAGCGCCCAGGCCCTTAGTTCAAGTCCCAGTACGTGTGTGTGTGTGTGTGTGTGTGGGTGTGTGTGTGTGTGTGTGTGTGTGTGTGTGTGTGTGTGTGTGTGTGTGTGTGTGTGTGTGTGTGTGTGTGTGTGTGTGTGTGTGTGTGTGTGTGTGTGTGTGTGTGTGTGTGTCTTTCGCCCAGGCCCTTAGTTCAAGTCCCAGTACTTGTGTGTGTGTGTGTCTTTCTTCTCTCCCCTTCCCCTCCTCCCCTTCTTCCTCTCTCTTCCTTCTCCTGTCTCTCCCCCTTCCTCCCTCCTTCCCTCCCTCCCTCCCTCTCTCTCTATGTCTCACTCTCTCACACAGAATGGTGTGATATTTAAAATGTAACACTATTTTTATAAGATTAAACAATGTTGTGAATGTCAAATTGATTTAAAGGAACTGAATCTATTTGTTATTTATAATTTTACTCCTTAGACGAGAGGACAAAAGAAAATGGTGTTTTAGTGAATAAAATAGTTTTGATTTTGAATCTGGTTTTTTATTGTACCGTGAAAGTAAATGACCCGATCCCTCAGTTCTGGGGGGCCTTGCATTCTCTTGACTTGCTGGCCTTGCTGGGTTTTTTTATTGTACCATGAAAGTAAATGACCTGACCCCTCAGTTCTGGGGGGGCTTGCATTCTCTTGACTTGCTGGCCTTGCTGGCATTCTGCCACTTGAATTTTGCCTGTAGCCTAGCTTTTTGCTGGTTATTTTGGAGATGAAGACTTTTCTGTCTGGGCTGGCTTCCAACCATGATCCTTGAGATTGCAACCTTCTAAATAGCTGGAATTAAAGGCATAAGCCACTGACAGCTAAGATTAAGTTTTCTTTCTTTCTTTTTTTTTTTTTGTCGGTTATGGGGCCTGAATTCTGGGCCTGGGTGCTGTCCCTCAGCTCTTGAGCTGTCGACTAGCACTCTACCACTTAGGCCTTAGCCCCACTTCTGCCTTTTTCTGCTTATGTGGTGCTGAGGAATCGAACTGAGGGTCTCCTGCATGCAAGGCAAACCCTCTACCAATGAGCCACCTTCCCAACGCCAAAGTTTTTTTTGTTTTTGTTTTTTTTGGGGGGGGTCCGGTTGTGGGGCCTGAACTCTGGGCCTGGGCGCTGGCCCTCAGCTCTTCAGCTCAAGGCTAGCGCTCTACCACTTGAGCCACAGCGCCACTTCCGGCTTTTTTCTTTTTGCTTATGTGGTGCTGAGGAATTGAACCCAGGGCCTCAGGCATGCAAGGCAAGCGCTCTACCACTGAGCCACCTTCCCAGTCCCCAACCCCAAAGTTTTTATAGCTATTGGATATATTAATATGATGTTAAATTGGAATTTTAGATTACAGAAAAAGTTTAAAATTATATTTTATTTAAAATAACTTATTTAAAAATTGTATTCTAGTATTGTGCTTTAGAAAATTGAAATATTGTTTAGTAGTTATAGAATTTCTTTTCTGAAAGATAAGGAGAAACTTGGTAAATTTTCTGTGTATTTAGCCACAAACAATATGAAGAGTGGACTCTGATATAGAAATAGCTTTGGTTACTAGTAATGTTTCCACATTGATTTTTCAATTAGAAAAATGTACCACACTATAGCAAGATGTTAAAATTGCTGGGAACTGAGAGGGAAAGAAAAGAAGCCTATGAGCGAGGGGGGGACAAAAAAGAAGGGAAAAGTAGAAGTAATAAAAGACATGGTTTTTCTTTATTTTGCATTAATGTTAAGTGTTAGGAAAAGCTATGACTTATTTGGTGAGCTCAATTAAAAAGAAAATTTCCTTGGCAAATTTTTTTTTTTTTTTTTTTTTGCCAGTCCTGGGGCTTGAGCTCAGGATCTTGGCACAGTCCCTGAGCTTCTTTTGTTCAAGGCTAGCACTCTACCACTTGAGCAATAGCACCACTTCCGGCTTTTTCTGTGTATGTGGTACTTAGGAATCAAACCCAGGGCTTCATGCATGCTAGACAAGCACCTTACCACAAAGCCACATTCCCAGCCCTTGACAGTCTTTTTAAGGGTTCACGGGGCTCTTAAATGACAAGATTTAGCTGAAAGAAGGCCTTAGTAGAAGAGGTGAGGCCCAAAGAAATTGGAAAAGAGTGACAGTGACAACACTAGTTTGTTAGTAAAGAGCCGTGCTAAATTACGAGTACTGTTGTTTTCCCACCTTTTATAACTAGTCTTTCCCTTTTGGATCCCAGGGTCTCCTACATGCTAGTCAAGGGCTGTGTAATAAATCTACACCTACTGCCCAATAATCATTTGTTTTTGACACCAGAATAGAGTGCTTCTTCTACCACTATCTGCTTTAGATACCTATCATTTTTGTGGTGATTTGAACCTTGAAGTTGGAAGAGATTTCTTTAAGTCCTCTATCAAATCTATAACCTACCCAAAGTAGCAACCTTAACTAATAATTCTCATTTAACTTTCGAACAAACAGGGACTGAACACACTTTGTCTTAAGACG